ACCAGCAGCTCGGCATCCCCGGGGACTGTGTTAGAAGTGCAAGTTCTCAGGCCCCATCCCAGACCTGCTGTCTCAGAAACTCTCAGGATCAGGCCCTGTGATCTGTCTGATCTGTTTCTACCCGTGATTCCGAAGCACTCCAAATGTGAGAACCACTTCCTTAGACGGAGTTAAAGGCTGGAGGAACCCACACAGGCTGGGGTTAAAGACGACCCTAAGGAAAGAATTCCCCCAAGTTTCAGAGTTAACCCCACGCTGTTCGCTTCCTTTCACGGAAGCCAAGTATGTCTTCGGGAATGAAATGAACTCCAAGTTCAGCCAGAGATCCAACACAGCCAGGAGACCGGCCTGCAGTGTCAAACCACTGACTCAAGCCTCCTGGCTGTGTACACGTGACACGTACGTGTGTACGTGCACGTGTGTAAAATGCACTTCTGAGGAGGTTGTGTGCAGACCACATCTTCTCCTAAGAAGCCTTGGAGATGACTCATGTATAAACAGACTGGGGCCAGCCCTTTTGAGGAATCTGGTTAGACCAGGAGCCTTTGTGCATTGACATTGTTTGTTTGTTTTTGTTTTGTATTTGAATTAGGAAAGGTAGATTTGTTAAAGAGAAGATAACATTGTGAAGGGCACAGTGGGCAGAGCAACGGCAAGAGTGTCTGCTGTCTGCTGCTGCACATTGACTTTTTTTTTTTTTTTTGAGTCGAAGTCTCACTCTGCCATCCAGACTGGAGGGCAGTGGCCGCTCCCAGCCACCACAGCCTCAACCTGCTGGGCTCCAGCGATCCTTCCGCCTCAGCCTTCCAAGGAGCTGGAACTACAGGAGCGCGCTACCACGCTCAGCTGATTTTTTTGATTTATTGTAGAGATGAGGTCTTGCCAAGTTGCCCAGGCGGGTCTCGAACCCGCGGGCTCAGGCAATCCACTCACCTCAGCCTCCCAAAGCGCGGGATTACAGGCTGTGCCACTGAGCTCGGCTGACACATTGACATTTTTAATTAAATCCTTTGCTTGTCTTTTATGAGGTAGTCACTGTTGTCCCATTTCTCAGATGAGGAAATTGAAATTCACAGAGGTTAAGTGATCAAGCCCTTGGGAAAATAGGATGAAGAAGGAATGCCGCGCTATCTAACTCCAAGGCTGTGTTGTTCCCGCGGCCCAAGGCTGCATGCCCAGACCTGGCTAGTTCATGCATTCGGACTCCTTAAAGTGAGAATCATGTATTTTTTCATAAAATATTCTAAAAAATAGTGTTAAGCAAAACAAGATCCAAATTACTGTAATGTAAAACAAATGAGCAAACAAAATCGAATTTCTTTTTTATTTATTTTTTGAGTCAGAGTCTCACTCTGTCGCCCAGACTGGAGTGCAGTGGCACATTCACGGCCACTGCAGCCTCGACCCACTGGGCTCAGCTGATCCTTCTGCCGCCAAGTGGTTGGAACTACAGGCATGTGCCACCACGCCCAGCTAATTTTTTGATTGATTGTAGAGATTTATTGTAGATTTATTGCCCACACTGGTCTTGAACCCATGGGCTCAGGTAATCCTCTCACCTCCATGGGCTCAGGTAATCCTCTCACCTCGGATTCCCAAAGTGCTGGGATTATAGGCATGAGCCACAGCACCCAGCCCAAAATAGGATTACTTAGAAAAAAAAAAATTAAAGGAAAGAAAAGCAACAGGGTAATGTGGAATGCCAAGGAAGAGAGCAGGTTTTCACAGAAAGCTTGTCAAGTCAGCGTGTGCCTGTGCACGTGTATATATGTGTGTTCATACATGTCTGTATGTGTGTGTCCTATGTGTGTGACATGTTGTGTGTATATGTACATGCATGCATGTATATGTGTATGTGTGTGGGTGTAAAATATGTGCCTGTGAGGTGTGTAGGTATGTTTATGTGTACATGCATATATGTGCTTGCGTGTGCATATGTGTGTGTGTGTGTGTGTATGTACATAAAATGCATGTGTGTGTTTCCAGGGTAAGCACAGAGCAAGGGCTTATGGGGCACTCCTTTAGAGAGAGAACCAGAGTCCCTTGTTTTAAGGCTCAACTCTGCTTCCATCCACCACGCCCAGCCTGGGAATCTGGAAGGGGCTCGGTTTTCTCCCCCCCTGTTGTAGCAAGTGACCTGGTCACGGTCACATCAGCGAGAGGCTGTGGAGCTAAGGTTAGACCCCAGGCCTCTGGGTGGAGCCCCACCTGGCACCCTCTGCGCTGTCACCAGAAAGCATAACACCCCCATGCCAGCCACACACACTGAGTGCCGGGAGAATCCCCCTGTGGACTGACTTACCCAATTGTTCTTACTTTTTAAAAACTACCCTAAGGAAAGAATTCCTGCAAGTTTCAGAGTTAACCCCACGCTTTTCGCTTCCTTTCAAGGAAGCCAAGTATGTCTTAGGAAATGAAATGAACTCCAAGTTCAGGTGAAGCTCCAAGCATGAACGGGGGAGGCTTCCACAGTCTGCATCTCACGGGACAGTTCCAGGGGTTGGTTCGTTCTGATGATGCAACGTGAGAACAAGTGCAAGTCAGCTGTGAGCACATCAGGTGTGAGCACATATGGTGTGAGCCCGTATGGTGTGAGCATGTCGGGCGTGAGCATGTTGGGATGGGAGCACACTGTGGCGTGAACAGCAACCGCACTCTCTCTAGAAGTTTAGGTCAGACTCCTGACGTTTGACCTGCGTCATCCTCGCACATGATGAAGGGTGACCGTGAAGTCAGTGAACCTCATGTCCTGGTTTCAGAGCTGGAGAGAGTGCCCAGGACCAGGCGAAGGAGACTGGGCTCAGGGTGGGCTTGGCCCAGGGCTCACCAGGTAAAGTCTGCCCACTTCATATGTCCTGAGGGACAGGGACCAGACAACTCCAACCCGGATGACCTCCGGGCCCCTCTGGGTGATGCGACTGCAAGGGAACCCAGGCAGAGGGTGGGGGCTCAGCCCGGGCCCTCCTCCCCGGCTGGGGAGGGCAGTTTAAAGTCCTGCCCAACGCTGCTCACTGGTGGTCCAGCAACGGCAGGTGAAGCTTAAAGCTTGAACAGCCCGAGTTACAGGAAGAACACCGATCTGGAGGTTTTTATGGTCACAACATGTTTCATGCACTACGGCTTAGCTTTGGAGGGTCTTGGGGGTGTTTTTAGGGTTTTGTTGCTGTGGGTGTTGTTGTTGTTGCTTTTAGAGACAGGGTCTCACCCTGTCGCCCAGACTGGAGTGCAGTGGAGCTCACTGAACTCAAGGGATCCTCCCATCGCAGCCACCTGAGTAGCTTGGACTAGAGGCACACGCCACCATGCCTGGCTAATTTTTTTCTGTTTTTTGTAAAGATGGGGTCTCGCTATGTTGCCCGGGCTGGTCTCAAGTGATCCTCCCAAAGTGCTGGGATTACAGATGTGAGCCACCACCCCAGCTTCATTTTTTATATATATAAAAGCGTGGATTCCACTGGCCACTAGAGACCATGACCCCTTCGTCCCCCTCAGTGTCTCCTTTCCTGGGACAGTTGCATGAGCCATCCTGTATTTGGAGACACCAATGAGCAGATACCTGAAGGAGGCATGAGGCCCCTCCTGAGAAAGTGTGTCCTCCGATGTCCCTGCATTGATCCCAAGGCCGTCCCCCTCTCTCAGTCTGACTGATACCCAAAGGCACACACAGGAGAGGCGATGGATGGAGTTAGGATGGATGTCCTGGGACTAGAGAATGTCGGTGCGCTGGGTGATGTTTGATCTCAGAAAACCCATAAATACTAGTAAGGTAATGGTTCTCAAACTGGTTCTGGCTTTATAAATTCTATGGTCAAGCCAACCAGGTTAACAAACCTGATTGTTCTTAAGAAACGAGGCTAGGCTGGGCTCAGTGGCTCAGCCCGTAATCCCAGCACATTGGGAGGCCGAGGTGAGTGGATTGCCTGAGCCCGTGAGTTCGAGACCCGCCTGGGCAACTTGGCAAGATATCATCTCTACAATAAATCAAAAATTAGCCGGGCGTGGTAGCGTGTGCCTGTAGTTCCGGCTACTTGGAAGGCTGAGGTGGAAGGATCGCTGGAGCCCAGCAGGTCAAGGCTGCGGTGGCCGGGAGCGGCCACTGCACTCCAGTCTGGGCGACAGAGTGAGACTCCAACTCAAAAAAAACCCCAAAAAACAAAAAAAGAAATGAGGCTAGCCTAACAGGAAGCCAGTCTTAAAGATCAGCCCCCAAAACACTGACTGGACACCTACCCAGGCCTTTTAGCAAAAGGTGTTATACTCAATCAGCCTTGCTAATGATGAGGGAAATAGAAGTCCACTTGGCGGTTAAAATCAATCATACTAGGCTGCTAAACACTTAGAATACTTGTTATTCACTGTATAGGGCCCTGGCTACCTGCAGAGCTGAATTTAATAAAACCCCCATAAATACTAGTAAGGTAATGGTTCTCAAACTTTAGTGAACATCAGAATCATCTGAAGCATTTGCTAAAACGCAGATTGGTGGCCCCTAGAGTTTTTGATCTACTATTTCTGAAAAAAGACCTGAGAGTTATTTGCATTTCCTTTTTTTTTAAGAGACAGGGTCTTGCTCTGTCACCCAGGATGAAGCGCAGTGGCACGATCATGGCTCATGACAGCCTCCAACTCCTGTGCTCAAGGGATGTTCCCACTTCATCCTCCTGAATAGGTGGGACTACAGGCACATGGTACACTTTGCAGAGGCTACTTTTTTGCAGAGACGAGGTCTCAGTACGCTTCCCAGGCTGGTCTTGAACTCCTGACCTCAAGCGACCTCCCACCTTGGCCTCCCAAAGTGCTGGGATTACAGGTGGGAGCCACCGCACCTGGCCTTTCTGCATTTCTCACAAATTCTCAGGAGATGCCGGTGTGGGGTGCACATTGTGAGAACCACCACGGTGGAACCTTCATGACACCCTTGAGATTTTGCTCCATGTCTCTCAGAGCCCAGAGCCCCGAGCCCGCCCCTCCCATGTCCCTCTTCTCTACCGCAGGGGAAGATGCTGACGCTCACCCACTTTCTGCTGCTCCTGTTGCTTTTCCTGGGGGGCCCGAGGACAGGCCTCCCCTACAAGTTCTACGAGGCGGAGCCCATCTTCAGCTGCCTCAACTCCGCCCTGGCCGAGGCCAAGAAGAGCCAGTGGGAGGACGTGTCCCCGCTGACCAAGAGGAGCTCCCACTTCCTGCCCGGCCAGACTTCAGGAGAGGAGGAGGACAAGGACAAAAGGACTTTCCCCGCCTCGAGGGGTGGCGGCGGGGCCGGAGGCACCCGGCACAGATACCTGTCCCCAGCACCGCTCAGGGGCAGGCTGCACCAGGACAAGGCCAAGGGCGACCGGCGCACCAAGTTCACTCTGTCCCTCGACGTCCCCACCAACATCATGAACATCCTCTTCAACATCGCCAAGGCCAAGAGCCTGCGCGCCAAGGCAGCCGCCAATGCCCACCTGATGGCGCAGGTTGGGCGGAAGAAGTAGAGGTGGATGCCAGGCGGAGGGCAGGAAAGGAGGCAGAGGTCAAGGACGGAGGGCGGGGAGGGTGCAGGTGTGCCATCCGCTGGTTTGTGTTTTGTGGGGTCCGACTGTTGGACGGGAAGCCTCTCCGCTGAGCCCCTCTGATCTCTTCCTGGCTCTGGACCCCCTCCCTTCCCCATCCATGTACATGGAAGTGCAGTATTGTCCCGCTTGCCCAGATACAAGGCAGTGACCCCGTCCCTCCTGTGTTGGGTCTCCTTTCTCCCCGCCCCTGGCAGGAGGCAGAGTTCACGCATTCCTCCTTGCCAAGTGCCTCCCGGTTGCCCCCATGCCCAAGAAGAGAGCATTCGTGTCTCCTCTCCTTCCCACACACCGACCCCTGCCAAGGCCGAGACCTGAGGTGACGCGCTGCCGGCATCTTGACCCCAAACTCCTCCTCTACCTCCCCGCTCCCATTAAACCCACGGCTTCTTGAACTCCCTCGTCTCGGTTCCTCTTCCTTCTGCCAGCCTCCTTCAAATTCTGAACTTGGAACAGGGAAGGGCCGTGAGGGAGGTTCTAGAGAGTCCACTTCTGGTCTCTCCCAGGAGGGGATGGTTCTTGGGGGGTCTTAGCGGGAGTAAAGTTGAGTTTGGGACTCAGCTTCTGCTGTGTGACGTAAAGCCACCCCGTGACCTGGTCCTACCCAGGGGACATCACCTACGAACTGGTTTACAATGGATGTCCGGGCTAAAAGAGGGAGGGAGTTTTGAATTACTCCCTTGTGACATTTCAAATGCCTCCATGGCTTACCAGGGCCTGGGCTGCTAGCCTCTGATGGGATTTTGCTGAACCCGCAGTAACCACCCAGTGCTATGACTGGCTGCAACCTTGGACGCTGATGTCCGGGCCAGGCCTCTGTACCCCCTGAAGCAACAGTCTCAGTGGATAGACACAGCCAGAACTTAAGAAGCAGACGCCACCAGGGAGTGTATAGTTGATGAACTGTGCAGTGATGGCCATGAGAATATGCATACACACACACACACACACACACACACACACACACACACACACACACACGAGGGCAGACCTCCCCTCCCAACAAAACCAGAATTATGTTTTGGAGGGTGGGTCCCTTGTAGTACAGGCTTTCCCCCACCCCCAGGTAAGTGTTCTAGGAACCCATCAGCATCAGGGTGCCACCTAGCGTTGTTGTGAGAGGCTGTGTTAGGCTTCAGTGAATTTTTTTGGAGATTCTTTCAGCACTTTTGCCCATTTCATGATGGGTGGTTTATGAGAGTGCCTGCCCTCACTGCACTGAGTGTTCAGCAGCTTTTACCAAAAACGGCACGAGCCCTGGGCCCCACCCTCCCTATTCACCCGATCTCTCCTCAAGCGACTTTTTTGTGTTTCCCAGATGAAAAAAAGCCCTCAAAGGGAAATGCTGCCTATGTGGAAGAGGTGAAACAGAAACAGGCAGAAGCACTGAAAGGCATCAAAACGTTTAAAAACTTTTTTGAGCAGCGGAAAAAGTGTCTCGATAGGTGTGTTGCATCAAACGAAGAGTACTTTGAAGGTGACTAAAGTTTAAACACGTAAGAATAAATACACACTTTTAAAATAAATACCAGCTTTTGGGGGTCCCCCTCATATATAGAAGACATCTAATAGGAGCAAAATCCCACTAAGAATGGACATTGGCAAGAACTTTGGACGGTCTCCTGGCAGCAAAGTCCAAGGGCCAGGTTCCCAGAAGAAGGACTGAGGTCACACTCCGTCCTGCGTGGTGACAAATTATAAACAAATAAAACGAACTCATGCATGGTAAAACACACACACACACACACACACACACACACACACACACACACACACCAGCAACTAATATCACCACCAGGACAGATGAATGACAAATTTGAAAAAATGTTTGCCACTCATATCAAAGACACATGGATTTTTTAAATCAGATCTACAAAGAGCTACTAAACATTGAGAAGAGCAAGAACAAACCCTGGAGAAAAATTAATAAAATAAATAAATAAGGGCATGAATAGATCACACAAACACACATACACACACAAAAAAGACTGCAAATGACCCGAGAATATAGGAAAGGACGCTCGGCTTCATAACTGCATGGATACACAGCATCTTACCCCTCGTGTCGCAAAAGTGCACAAGTGTGACAACGGCCTCCATTGGCGGGGCCTGACAGCTGCCCTCCTCTCGGGGGTGGGAGGGAGCAGGAGCCCTGGGGAGACAGTTTGGCCACACTGATCAAAATCACCATTTCATTTTTCCTTTCACCTGGCAATCCTGCTTCTGGCGGGCTTTACTGAAAAGCAGTTAAAGCTTAAATTTTTTAAAAGTCAACTTGCAGTTGAAATGACGAACACCCCACCCCTTAACAGGCCCCATGCGCCCCAGAAGTAAAAATGCGAGTGTTGTTTCCTGGGAAAACCTCACAGCAGAGCAAAAGAATCCTGGTCTGAGACTCTGAACACCTGGATGTCAGACGAGGCTCTTCTCTGTGTTATGTGACTAACAGCACACTTTTTAACGTCCCTGAATGCTGATGCGCCAGGCACCATGACAGTGACTTGTGAACATGATCTTGTGTACTTCTCCCAAGAGACGTTATAGTTGTTTCCATTTTGGAGATGGAGAGATTGAGGTACAGAGAAGATAAGAGACATGTCCAAGGTCTCCCAGCAGTTGAGTGGCAGAGTCAGATCTGCCTGGTCACAAACCCTCTCTCATTCCTCCATGAAGTGCTGACCCTTCCCTGGTACAAAGGGCATGAAGTCGCAGTCCCCACCATATGGGGCTCTCCGGAGTCTCACGCAATCTAAGACTGGAAACGCACCGTGCGGACACTGGGGCTATGAGTAGTGTGTCCCCAGCAGGTAGGTCGGTGCCCGGAATGCTTTCAGAGCGTTGCAGGTAATGTAAGTGTGGGCATAATCAGACGGTGAACGAACAGGAGAGAGCTGGCTGAAACTCTTACCGGCTGCGGCACGAGGCTCCTGCTGGACAGCTCCCCGCCCGCAGGTCCAGCCTCCGCTGAGTCTGATCTGCGAAATCAGACCCTGATTTATGAGCAGGTGGTGCCCCTAAGCACACGTTCACCATCACATCGGCAACAGGTGGAAGGTAGGGATGGCCAGGTCCAAAGGTCACCCCTATCTGCCACCCCTGATTTCACTTTGTAATATTGTGGGAGGAGGAGAGGAGAGCTAGTATCGATCCTATTGTCTTAAAGGAAGAAACCCCTTAGACCCTCTGTCTCTTCCTCAGTCAGAGAAGGTTAAATAGGGGAGGACTGGCTTCACCAGGCACAAGAATCTCCACCCCCTTTGGATGGTAAGTTGCAGAGGCTAAGGAATATTTCGCTAGAACGTGGGCAGACCCTGGTCATCAGAGAGTGAGAGCACAGGCTCTCAGTACCCAAGGTTGAACACCTTGTGTACATGTGTAATAGGTTGTCATTTTTTTCTGAGACACAGTTTTTAATTACTCCACAAGGCAGCTGCACATGAGCACGTGACTTGTCAGGTGAGCGAGTCTAATCAGTGACCCAGTATTTCTGTCTCCGAGAGACTTCGTAGCCCTCTGCTAGTGACCACGGATGTCCCATCTCATTTAAGGCCTGAGGAGGGTTGCTTAGGTTTCTCTGTTAGACATGACTGCATTTTGCAGAGGGAGTGACTGACGTCTGTAGCAATGCACAAAGGTCTCGGGTATTCTCTCTGTGTGTAGGCTCTGTCTGATTCTGTTTGAGGAATATACCAGAGACACACACCCAATCCTCTGTCCTGCAACTACAACTTACGGGCATGTTAGAAACTGTCTAGGAAAGAACAGGACAGAGGAAAAGTGGGCACTGAGTTCAGTTCACATCTTGCTGTAGAATAAATATTTTTTTTAATTAGAAGAGATTTATTTATCTTTAGAGATTAGTGGACTTCCTAACAGAATAGTTTATGAGGGGTTGTACCTATGTTTGCACAGAACACCTTCCTCTAAAGCAGATTTCAATTAAATAATAATAGTAATAATAATAATATTCGGCTGTAAGTAGAGATACTAGGATACATGATACCAAAAAAGTTGATGATCGTTCCTCATCAAGAATCAGTCAGGTTCTTGGGGCCAGTTCATCAATTCACCAATTCATCACAGTTAGGAAAGTGCACCATGAAGACAAAAAAAATGTAATATAAACAAGGAATGAAAATAAATGTGTATGAGGTTCATAAGAAAAAAATATAAAATGCTAAAAGTGTTCGGGGGAGGCATTGAAAATGAGTTTGTATGAGTAGGAACTCTCAACACAACCCCTGTCAAGTTACTTGTTTTGCTTTAAACCCCCTTAATAAGTAGTTGAAACTCTTTTAAAATAAGGACCAATAGGAAAACCTTCATTAAGGAGACAAGAAGATGGATGATGCGACCCCTTGGTGTTTATCTAACAAGGAATCCTGAAAACAAATACCAACAGTAAGCAAGGGTGACTGTTTCATGACGGTCCAACGATTTTGGAAAGTATAACCAAACAATCGGAAAAAGACAAGAGATACTCAGCATGCAATCACCTATTTTATGTCACGTCAAGAAATGGAGAAAGTACACAAGTCCAAAAGCAGTTGGCATTAAACTATAGAGACTTTTACATATCTTAAGAGCCAAAGAAATACAGAATCTCATCAAATGGGATAGCTAACTAGTTTAGTAAGAATTGCAGCTGTAACTGATTTGAAAGGTGACAACATGACTCGAATCTAGGAGTGGGCTAGGGTCCACCTCGTTCTTTAATTAACAAAGTTCTTGTTATAGACTTTTGCTGGGGTCCTGTTCAATGAGAATCACAAAGAACAGAAGCAGTCATGGTCTGGTCAATATCAGGAAGCAGCTTCAGCCAGCAAAGAAGGCAAAAGACAAAACATTGATCTTTAGAAGGCAACCCCAAACCTATGGGAAGACACACTGTTTTCTTCAAGGGTAAACATGTTCGATACTCT